CACTTCGAGGGGTAAAAAGTATAACTATTGCACTGTGTTGTACAGCTGAAACTAATTCTAAAAAATGTGTATTTCACAATAAAAAATTTTAAAAAACAACATATAAATAAAAGTATGAATATTGTAATATCTAGCAACATGGCAGGAAGAAACATGCCCTTGAAGTGTTGTTCAGACTCCTGAGGGCTCCTATGTGGTCTGACCATTGGCCGTGATCCTTTTCAGGCTTATTTTCACGTGGGTGTTCACAGTAAATACTTGTTACTTGAGGTCAACTGAGTGAGTCTCTGGTTTGATGATCCAGAGGAAGTAACCAGTTCACCTGACCAGGGGAGGATGCAAAGATGGCTCCTGACCCATCTGTACTCACTGGCTCCCCAGCCCCTTCTCAACTCTGCCATCATCAAATTTTCTTTTCTGCACCTCTGTTCTGAAGACCCCTGGGGTAAGCAGAATTCTAATTTGGCAACAATATCCCCATCCACTGGTGTATACACATCTTCTTCCAGGCTTTTAATCAAATGCCAATCTAGGTGCTGCTGTGAAGGAATTTTGCAGATAGAATTCAAGTCACATCAATTGACTTAAAAGAGGGAATTTTATCCTAGGGATCCAATCAGGTGAGTCCTCAAAAAAACTGGCCTTTTCCTGGAAAAAAATTTGATATGTGGGAGTGCTACAGGCCTCCAGATGAGAGCACAGATACATTATGAGAGGGCCTATGAGAGGGCCATGTGAAATGAAATACAGGTAGCCCCTAGTTGTTGTACATGGTCCCCTAACACCAGCAAGCAAGAAAGGAAGACCTCAATCCTACAACTACTAGAAACTGAATTCTGCCAGCAACCTGATAGCTTAGAGCCCAAGCCTCAGATGGGAGACTTGTAAGACTTACAAGACCCTGACCAGAAAACCCAGCTATACCATGTCTATTTGTTAGCCCAAAGAAACTGTGAGATAATAAATTTGTATTTTTTAAGGTGCTGTACCTATAGGAATATGTTACCCCAAAATAGACCTTGAATTCAGCTCCTCTTAGAGCTCTCACCTGCACATCATACTGGGCCATAAGGACAGCAAAGCTGCTGAGGTGGGTGCATTGACAGGTGGTGCTGGTATCTCTGGTGACCACCATCCAGCAGCCTTTGGTGGACCAATAACCACTTCCATTCTGGCCATGTTCCCAGAAGACACAGAATACCTTCTGCCTTGGCCAAGGGGTCACTGACTGTAGGAAAAGAGCGTAGATGTGAACAGGTGGTTCTGGTGCTCAGAAATGCTGACCCAAATATGGCTTGTGAAGGGCTTTCCTGGGGAGATGATGCACCAATGGGGGAGCCCCCTGTACTCCAAGGCTGTGCCCAGGACTCAGGCTTCTTTTACACCCACATTCTCATCCCACCAGGACTCACATGCTTGAAGATGAAGGTGACTGGGGAGCTGAGGTTCTGGGTGTTCTTGTTGCTCATAAAGGCTGAAATGACACTTGAGAGCAGGACAGGGGGGACTCCCTGCCGCAAGACCTTGTGTGTCTCATTCAGAACTGCCTGTTCCTTAGTGTCCAGGACCAGGGGAGCCTCAGCCAGCAACTTGCCCATTCTTGGGGTGGAGACAAGGCCCACAAAAGAAGGGCCTGTGTAGGACAAGGCCAAGATTGACATCTTGGGGTGCTCAACAGGCCCCCCTCCTCCTCAAATGGACTCTGTCCTTTGACCCACCATAACCCATACTGCCCTTTAAACTTTAATTCTCTATTTGTCACATCCTTGGGCATCTTGTCCCACTGTGAAGCTGGGACTTTCATTGAATTTCTCCCCCTCTCAGTCATTACCTGAGTCACCAGATTCCTGCACCACGTCCCAGTTCAGCAGCATCTTCGCTTGAAGCTGACTCAAGGTGACGTTCCTGTGTCCTTGCTCCTGCACCTCCAGAGACAGTTCTATGAGTTACAAGATTTACATAAAGGAGTTAGATTTGTATTTATGCCTGCAGTGGTTGCTATAATACCGTTTGTATGTCTTCATATATTTTATATATATTACGTTATATTATATACCAAATGTTATCAGTAATATTATTATGTGTACTAAATGATGCTATTATTTTATATGTATATACAGGGGTGCCCCAAAAATGTATACGAATGGACACTTTGGTCAACATTGCTCAAGCAGTAGTTTGCCATAATCAGAAGTGTCTGGACGCTGATGGTTACCACTTTGAGCACCTCTTACAATTGCAGAAGTCAAACATGATTTGTATTCATCTTTTGATATCAGTATATATTGAGTATTACAATTTTAATAGTTTTTTTCTTTCTTAAAATGTGTATACATTTTGGCACCCTCTGTATTATAATAATCTACATATTTGGTATACATAATAATGATATATATGTGTATCATCTGAATTTATGAAGAATTATAAGAGAAACTATGAGAAATTTTTCAACAACAAATTAGATAGCCTGAATAAAATGGACAAATTCCTACAAACACACAAACTATAGAAGTAACAGAAGAAGAAATACAAAATCTGAACAGGTTATAACAAGTAGAAGATTGAATCAGTAATCAAAACTTTCCAAAATGAAAACTCCAGACCTAAATTTTACCAACCATTTAAGGAAGAATTAACACAAATCCTTGGTAAACTCCTCCAAAAAAAAAATTGAATAGAAAGTAACAGTACCTAAATAATTCTATGAGGCCACCATTACTCTAAAAGATAAGCCAGAGAAAGATATCACAAGAAAAGAAAATTATAGACCAATATCTCATATGAACTTAGATGAAAAAATATTCAACAAAATACTAGGAATAAATTTATCCAAGGAGGCTCAAGACTTGTATACCAAAAACTACAAAAGATTGCTGAAAAAATTTAAAAACCCTAAATACTCACAAATCAAAAGACATCCTATGTTTATGGAATGGAAGACAATACTTTTAAGATGGCAATATTCCCCAAAGTGATCTATAGGTTCAATGCAATACTAACAATATCCCAACAGCAGTTTTGCAAAATGGAAAAAGCTCATCCTAAAATTCATGTGATATTGCAAGAGGCCCCAATACCCAAACTTAAATATGAAAAACAAAGATAGAGAAGTCATGCTTCCTGATTTCAAAATTTATTACTAGCCTATAGTAATCAAAATAGCATGGTAATGGCGTAAGGATAGACATACAAATCCAACAAAATAGAATTGAGAGTCTAGAAATAAACCCATTCATTTATGGTCAATTGATTTTCAACAAGACCATTCAAGAAACTATTTCAACAAGAATAGTCTCTTCAATAAAGGATCCTGGGACATCTGGCTATCCACAAGCAGAAGAAGGAAATTGGACCATACCTCACACAATACATAAAAATTAGCCCAAAATGGGTTAAAGACCTACATTTAAGAGCTTAAACTAGAACAGTTAGTAGAAAACCTGGGAGTAAATCTTCATAGCCTTGGATTTGGCAATCAATTCCTAGATATGACACAAAATGCACAAACAACAAAAGAAAAAAATAAATAAAATGGACGGTATCAAAATTTAAAGCATCTGTTCATTAAAGTGAAAAGACAATTTATAGACTAGGACAACATATTTGCAAAACACATGTCTCATAGGGTATACTATCAAATATATAAAGGACACTTACAACTTAACAACAAAAAGTCAAACAACCCAATTAAAACATAGGCAAAGGGTTTAAGTAGACATATCTCCAAAAAAGATACATAAATGTTCCACAATCACATGAAAAGATATTCAATATCATTAGTCATTAGGGAAGTGCAAATCAAAACCATAATGAGATGTCACCTAACATACACTAGAAAGGCTATAATAAAAACAAAACAAAATGGAAGTAACAAGTATTCCTGAGCATGTGGAACCCTTCTATATTCCTGATGGGGGTGTAAAATGGTGCAGCCATTTTGGAAAAATAGTTTGGTGGTTCCTAAATGCTAAACATACAATTGCCTTATCTCTCAGCAATTCGACACCTACGTATGTATACAAAGAACCAAAAACAGTTATTCAAATAAATATTCGTAGTAATTCTATTCACAATAGTCAAAAGGTGCCAACAACTCAAATGGCCATCAATGGATGGCTGGATAAACAAAAGGTGGTCTATCAACACAATGGTATATTATTCAACCACAACAAGGAAAGAAATATGATACATGCTACAAACATAATTAACTTTAAAAACATTAATTTAGGTCAAAGAAGCAAGATTATAATGTCACATATTGTATGATTCTATATATATGAACTGTGCAGAACAGGCAAATCCATAGAGACAGAAAACAGATTAGTGGTTACCAGAGGCTGGGGAAGGGAGGAGTGAGGAGCAACTGCTCAGTGGGTACAGTGTTTACTTTGGAAGTGATGAAAATATTGGGTTGTCAGAAAAGTCATGACGTATTTTTTTCTATGTTTTTGTTGCAAAAATGCGTCATGACTTTTCCAACAACCCAATATTTTAGGAATAGAGGTGATAGTTGTACAACTCCATGAATGTACTAAATGCCACTGAATTGTACACTTTGGTTAAAATGGTCAATTTTATGCTATGTGAATTTTACCTCAAAAAAACAAACCACTTAAATATCAAATAATATTAAATTATATTCTTCCAAATTTCATAATTTGTTTTTTGAAGATATTTCTATTTTATCTTAAATTTTTCATTATAATGATTTCATTTGCTGATAATTTATATTACAATGAAAATGTATATTATTTATAGGTGGTTTTTCATTTCTTTTTAACATTTTGTTCTAATATGTTTATGAGAGTAACATGTAGACACAAGCATGGTCACTCAGCTCTATCTAGTGAGACTGGAAGAGGAATGAGGCAGGGAGTAGGCATAGCAGAGCCTGGGGACAGAGGAGGGTCCTTACCTGTGCCTGTAGATGAATTAAAGGTCAGTGGCCCATTGGGCAGGGCCTTGCTCAGCCATCTCAGGGCTTGCTCCTGGCCAACAAGCAGGATGGTGGCCACACGGTGCTGCTCTGAGTGGGGCAGGGTCTCCAGGTCTCCAGGAGTCTCCAGTAGCTCATCCACCATCTGTATGACGTCCTGGGGTGACGGGGACACAGAGCCGGTGGGCCATACGCCAGAGAGGCTACATGAAGACCCTGCCCACTCAGCCCCAGCAAATAGAAACTAAAGATGGTCTATTTGGGGATAAAGGTGGTGCTGGATGGATTCCTTGTGTCTTTGCCCCTGGAATCCAGCCACTCAGAGGTCAGCCCTGTTCATGAATGCCAGGGATGACATAAACCCAATGGGCACGGACGGCACAAGGAAAGGTGTTAGTAGGTGCACATGGGTCTCACAGTGAGTACAAATACCTGCGTGTCTGCTCTTCCCACCCACCCTGGGAGAGGCGGGGCCTCAGAACAGGATGCCATTGTGTTCGGATCTCTCTGCTCCCAGAACCAGCCTTCTCCAGTCCTCTATGGGATGCCTCCACCTGCTTGCCCTGGGTCCTGCCCTTACCTGGATGGTGTCCTTGGCCAAGGCAGGCATGAAGGCTCTGCCCAAATCCTGGACTCTTTGAAAGAAGCGGGAGAGCCTCTGGAGAGAGGGGAGATGAGGTGGTCAGAGAGCCTGATACATGGGTAGCACAGCTTGGGGAAAATGGATGGACAGGGCAGCTGCCTCCTGCTGGGGCCACTTACCTGGCTCTTGATTCCAGGGGGTGGGGCCCAGGTGGGGAAGTTCACTGCAGGGAACAGAACAGCAGTTCATTCGGTGTGAGAGTGTCTGCGTGTGTTGGAGGCAGGATCTGGGGTCAGGTCAGGCCAGGTAGCTTCACATTGGGTGGCCCTTTGTTTACTCAGAAACCCAGGTTTGGGCACCCAGCCTCGGAGCCAGTGGCATGTGTATGAGCCCAGAGTGTTGACGCAGAAGGTGGAGTTGTCACACTGATGCCCCCAGAGCGACACTCATCCACATCTGGGGACACGAAGAACAGGCCCAGTCCCAGCCCACTCAGGCCCCTCGCCTCTCCATGCCCTGCCCCTCCCCCCATGTTAGTGCCCACCACCCCCTTAGCTGGAGTGATGCCACTTGATGACTGCACATCCCTGAGTGGTGGACACAGGGATTATGGGAGATGTGTGCAGAGGCCTGACACATAAGAAGTGAGCCCCGTACAGATGTAAGGTTGTGAAATATTGAAATACCTTTGTCCCAGTTAGTAATTGGCTGCTGCCCGGGGTCCCCCAGGAACCTTCCTCTTGGTATTCCAGCTCCTTCCCTGGGACACCCCCCCCCCAGGTCTTTGCCCATTTAGCCACAAAAGAATTAATGCCTAGCACAGCAGGGCACCCCCAGCATTCATTCTGCTTGGTTTGTATAAGTGCCATTGAATATGCAGTCAGATGGTTTGAGTGTGGGAGTGTGGAATCTGAGCTCCACACCTTTGCAGATGGTGTTGTTTGGGCCATTGGGGGACCCAGGCATTGGCTTCCAGCCAGGGCGGCAGCGGCAGTTATAACTGCCCACAGTGTTGAGGCAGTGTGTGGATTTGTGGCATGGTTTTTGCTCCGAAGCACATTCATTCACATCTGAGGACAAAGCCAGAGCATCAGTCCCTCCCTCCACTCACTGTACCCATCCTTCTTGCTCCTTCTCTCAAATTCCTTAGCACTTCACACTGAGGACACTCCCCACTATGCACCTCTTACCAGCCACCCAGCCTGTCAGGACACAACTTTATGATGACATTTTCCACTGTAAAAACACCATAAACTCAGAGCATCCCTGCAAGGTGGGCAGGGCAGGACTGTGTGTACGCAAGTGTGATCCCAGAGCTGTGTGTCCTTGAGTATGGTGCAGGATGGACTGTGGAGGGTGCCTGTGATGTGCTTCTAAGCAGGGAGGCTGGGACACTGATAGCTCTCCACGTGTTGGCACGATTCTGGGTGGGGTTGTGGCACCACTGCCATCGGGAGCTGCACTCCTGCCCTTATTAGAATAGAATCAGGAGCTCAGCCCTGCCCAACACAGGTCCCCATCTCCTCACGGCCTGCACTGAGGACACAAGTTCCTGAAAATGTTGTCACCTTTTCTCCTTTAAGATGGGCTCAGCAGGATAAAGAAGAGGTGGTACATAGGTACAATGGAATATTACTCAGCCATAAAAAGAATGAAATTGTGCTATTTGTAACAACATGGATGGACCTAAAGGGTATTATGCTGCATGAAATAAGTCAGACAGAGAAAAGACAAATAGAATGCCATACATTTCACTTATATGTGGAATCTAATAAAACAAAACAAATGAACAAACAAAACAAAACAAAAACAGACTCATAGAAACAGAGGTGCCTCTTCTGATTCCGATGATGGCATCCTCTGGACTGGCAGAAAGTGGTGAGAATCCACATGAGCACGGCCAGCAGTGGGCAAGGGCTGGATGGCTGGAAAAGGGAGCAGGTACTGATGGGCGAGGAGTGGCAGGTGTTTCTGTCATCTGGTCCCTTGTCTCCCACTGGGGATGCAGACCTGGAGGCCCCACTGGGGGGTGCTAAGCCTGCATCTTCTGTCTCCCAGTGGTCTGGGCCCCCATGATGCCTGGGTGACCTCCTCATGAGAAGGTTGGGCCTGGGGCAGTGGTCCCCAATGACACCCTCCCTTGTATCTGGTCCAGACAGAAGCATCTTCATTCACCCAGTTCCCTGAGTTGGGGGCGGAGGTCGATATCACCCTGCCCACCCCCAACACAACATCCCGCTGGTTCCTGTGAACTGAAATTGCTGGAAGGATAAGGCAAAGGCTTCCTTGGGGAAAAGACAAAGGCTGGGTGGCCAAGAAGTGGGTCAAGATGCCAGGAAGCAATGTTGCCAGGTGGAATTGTTGGCCAGGATTAGGACTGACCGGGGACAGCGGGCCTGCCTTTGAATCTCCCCCCTTTCCTATGTTTCTGGATGGATTTCCAGGGCCCATCCAGGGCTGAGAGGGCTCCTGTCATGGCCGAGCCCATGTGGGCTCCAGTGAGGCAGGTCTCATCCTGGCAGTCACTGACTGTGGTGAAGAGGAGGGATATTGTGCTGGACCTCAAGGTACTGTCAGCTCATGAAGTATCTTAATGCTATCCCTCTCCCTTTCTGTACAGAAATAAGATGCTAGGTGGGCAGGGGGGATATTCCAAACTTCTAGAAGTGACCCTCTATGGAGGGTTCTGAGCCTTGAGGTTCAGAGAGGGCAAGTGACCAGGTTGCCTTCTCCAGGACAGCCTTTTTATGCCTGGAGAAAGTGGGGCAAATCACCTCAAACTTCATGGACAAAAAAAGTGAAAGACACCGGGTGGTTCTTACCTTGACACGTGTTCTCAATCGCATTTTTGAACATTTTTGCTCCAGAAATGAGCACGTATCCCGGGCTGCATGTGCAGTAGTAGCTCCCCTCCGTGTTCTGGCAGTCTGCGAATTTTCCACAGGACACTGTCAGGGGTGGTCCACACTCGTTGATGTCTGGAACACAACAGGACAAAGGGTTGTCTCCCTAAGGTGTGAGTAAGTTTCCATAAGGCAGAGACTGTGGACTCCAGCCTGACCCTGCCATGGGGAGTGGAGAGAACTCAGCTCCTGGGTGGCACTCTTGGGGCTGCGCTGGGCACAGCCAGCTGCTCCAGAGCCTGTTGACTGTTCTGCTCATCTCTGTTCTCTGGCTGGGCCTGAGGGCGCCTAGATTCACAGACTCTGCTGTGTCGTGATGGGGATGGAAACAGGTCTGCATCCCCTTCTCCAGGCTGTGAGGGGTAGACGGAGGCGCTGATTCAGCTCCAAATCTTCTGCTGTGGTGCTGTTTGCACTACAGGAGACCTGGGGTTGGCCTCTAGTCAGGGTGACAGTGACATTAAAGGCTGCCCCCTATGCTGAGATAGTGGAGGGAGTCGTGGCTGGGGGCTCTCCAAGGTGACATCATCATTCACACCTGAGGAAAGAGCCAGGTGTCAGGCCCCTGCCTGTTGTGAACTTCCACCCCCCATTACTCACAATGGGCAAAGTGCACCCCTCACTCGCCATCAGGCACTCCCCCAGCTCCCAATGTTAGGCATTTTCTAGATGCCCCAAGATGTCTCTGGGAGAGTCTGGCTATCTCCACCCCTGGGGGAAGTTCCTCTTTATCAGCCCGTCACAGATGTGAAATGGAGAAGCAACAGGAAGCCACTCATAGCTGAGTCACTTGGGGGGATATCTGGCATCTTATCTCTACCTGCTTCTAATGCCCATGAGCCGGGTCCTTTTTGAGTAGCTCAGAGACCAACCAAGCAGGGTCTGGACACATTTGGCTAAAACAACAGTTTAATAAGAACCAGCAACACAAGAAGGAATCAAATTGCAGGGACAGAATGTTAAGTCATGTACATTCCAATCAGGGGACCAAAGACATTGGAATCTGAAAGGACTCCGGTGTCATGATGGCCAGGCAACTAGTTTCCCCCAGATCAGAGTCTCTTCTCCACACCTGAGGATTTCCCTTCCGAGTTCCCAGACCCAGGCAGTGGTGTCAGCACTGGGACAGGACAGAATGTAGAAGGGACACTCACCTGAGACATTCTTGTTCAGCCCCACCTGGGCATTGGGACTTCCCTCCTCTGTTCTCAGATGGTACAATGGCTAGAGATTTGTCTTCAAGTTTGATGGGAGGGGTGGAGCCGAGTGGGGGAGATTTGGAAAAGAGGTTTGCAGGACAGGAGGACACAGTGAAGGGAAATTCCTCAACCTGACAAATGTGCTCCCAGCAAGGACCTGGGATCCAGGTACATTAGTAGCAGGATCTCTTTTCCATGTCCACCCAACCTACAAACCCCCATGAGACACACACATGCAAATGCACAAAAGAACCTTTAGGAATAGCTCCAGTGTCATGGATGGGCTGGGCAGTCGTCATAGCAACATCTTTTTATTTTTCTCTGATAAAATCTACTTTCCCCCAAATATTAAATAACATGTTCTACTTAGAAAACAAAGAAAATATTTTTTTAATAAAACAACAACAAAAAATCATCCATAAGTCCCCTATACAGACTATCAAAATTTTAAGGGTACTTTTTTCCTTCTTTTCAAACATATTAGTAATATTTTCTTTATTATCAATAAATGTGCATTTAAGACTATTTTGAGTTGATAAAGACTATTTCTTTGTGTAAAAACTACATAATTTCCTTTTTTCCTGTTTTTTAATTGTGGTAAAATGCAAATGACTTAAAATTTACTATCTTAACCTTTTCTAAGTAGTATGATTTCCTTTTGTGATGCTGTGCTGTTAAAGAATAAAAACTTCTTAGATTCTACCACCTTGTTAGTTGTGGGACTTTGGGCAAGTCACTCAATCTCTTTGAGCACAAATTTGATCATTGAGGCAGCAATCCTAGCCCTGCTTGCCTTACGGGGCTGCTGTGAGGATGAGGTGGGAAAACATGATCGTGAGTGGGCAGGATTCCTGGTGAGCTCCAGCTAGTAGGAGAGCCTGAGCTTCAAAGCCCTGGGTGTTTCTTTTCTCCTGTTGCTCCCTTTATTTCTCCCCTTTCTTTGTGCTATCAAAATAATAATAATAATAATAATAATAATAATAATAATAGCAGTAACAATGATAATAACTAGCATTTGTTGACTCTTTACCTTTTTTTCATACAGGTAAATATTAAATCTCACACCGGCCATGTGGGGTAGGTAACTAAGTATTTCCACTTTATAGACAAGCAAACTGAGGCAAATAGGGGAGAAATAATTTCATGACTGTCAGAGACCTGTCAGTGGCAGAGCTAGACTTTCAGCCAATGTAGCCCAGCTGCACCATGGAAGCTCTTAACGCTCTACCTACTGATCATGAAAACCTGACTGCCCACTTCCCTGCCACTTCCCTGCCCTGTCTTGTCTCTCTAATCCTTGACAAAGTGCTTCTGTGCTGCTCTCAGGGGTGAGGGATTTGGATGCCCCACAATCTCCCCCCCCCCACAATCTCCGTATGCTCCTCCACCACCCCAAGCCTCTGTACCATCACAACTCTCCAAAGGGCTGGTGATGATCTCCCCAGATAAAGAACTGAATCCTGGATGACAGCGACAGGCGGTGGCATTGACACATGAGGAGTTCGGAGGGCACCACCGAGCACAGGCTGTGGAGGCAGAGGCTGTGGGGACAGGACAGAGACCATGGTCAGAAGGCCCAAGAAATGGAGGAAGCCAGCTGGGAGTCCAAGAGTAGAGGAGGAGAGGGAAGGGAGAGGTGGCTGCTATCAGAAGAGGAAGAGCTCAAAAAACTAAATTTTTAGGGGAAAACAAATAGCTTTCCTCATCCTAGAGGACCATCTCTGAGCCTCACTTGCAGTACAAGCCTCTTTCCTCCACTTGTTGGTGAGAAGTCCCAGAGCCCGGCATGTACTCCCCATATTCTGTCACTAATGGGGCTGGCTGGGCAGACTCACCTCTAGTGTCCAGTGTCAACAGCAGCAGCAGCACCAAGAGTCCTGGGACAGAAAGACAGAGAGATGACAGAGAGGAGAACCAAGCTCCAACTTCAATCCCAGTCAGCATGGCCATTGCCTCTTTAGTAGGTGGTTCTTGCCCTGCAGCCCACTTCCAGCAGCTTCTTGTACTTTACTGGGAATCGAGGACTAAGCCTTTCCCCTCAACCTCCCAGGACTCCCCAGGAGCCAGTCACCAACAGACGGTGCTCAGGTGGACTCTGGTGTTACAGATAAGGGGACAGGACATACACACAGCTGATGACAGGGACCCATCTTAGAAACCCCAGCCTTCCCAATGGAGAGGATAAATCTTAAAGGAAAGAGTCCTCAGATTGCTGTGCGTTTGCCCAGGCCCGCGTTCCTTGTTCTCTGTCAATGGCAGAAATCTGCTTTGAGGATTCCTCTTCCAGGGTCACTCC